GGATTAAAAAATCAGCCTCTAACACAAAACAACGTCATTCCAGCAAAAAAATTAATATAAAAAAAATAAACAGCCTATACGCATATCGTTCGTATCGTAAAAATGTACTGTGTATCGGACAATACAATGCAAAAACGATATAAAATTATGATTCGTATCGGTTTATCTCTATATCGTAACGTATCGTACGATAGTAACAACTATGGGGGTGAGTATTAAAAAGGTGGACTTGGCAGTTTGATAATGAGAAATTAAATAGGGTGGGAATGATGAATTGGGGGGGGGTGGGAATAGCCCCACTCTTTAAGTTTAAGCAAGGATTTTATACTTTATACTTGACAATTAAATTCAGCTCAATTAAAATCTTAATCATAATTACGTCAAACCGAGAATTGAATTTAAGTTCGACTCAATTAACATTCTTAAACCTACAAACTAATTCTTATCTATATCCGCTCAATGAGACACCATAACTTTTTTTTTTTTTTAATTTAATTATTCTTTATTACTTTTACAATCAATTTTAATTTGACTTCAACTTGAATACTTGTAAAATTTAAGGAAAGTTAAGTTTAAGCAAGAAAATATATACTTTATACTCGACAATTAAATTCAGCTCAATTTAAATCTTAATCAAAATCACTCTGAACCAATAATCGAGTAAAATGAAAGAATTTTTATAATTTTTGGGTGGAAAAAAATTTGGAGAAGGAATTTCGATCATTTGATCAATAAATTTAAAACAATTTGAGCCACGAAAAACTCAAAACAAATAATGCTAGCTCCCTTAGTAGATAGATATATAACAAATTACATATATATTATTCGTCTATTATACAATTCGAATATTATAATATTTTTATTTCAATATAAAATATGACATATATTATAGTCATTCGACTCGTTTTAACACAAAGAATCTATACTTAAGGTTCATTTGCTTATTTGAAATTTTTAAAAATAATCTTTAATTAGAATCATAATTAAAAACCTAATTAATGTGTAGTATGAGATAGAGAGAAATAGAGAGTTATAAGAGAGATAGAAATCTTAGAATTGTGGAAGGAATGAAAATCTTGCTCAAAAAATTAGGGGGGGGGAGAATTTTGCATTAGGATCATTGGATCAATATTTCTTCAAGCAATCTGAGTTGCGAAAAGCTAAAAACAAAAAAATCTATCCAATTTATTATATGTATATATAATAAAGTAGAACGAAGTTTGAATCTAAAAAACAAAGAGAAGTCCAGATCATTTTGAGACAAACATAAACACATTCAACGGACAACGTAATCCCAACATAAAAGACGGCTTAGATCATTTCAAAAATTTTGATCTAACAGTCTACAGTTAGTCTTGAATTTCTTTTCCCGCCCATGAAGAGCTTTTTATCATAAGATTCTATACTCCTATATCTCATACGTCTCTATCTTAAATTTGAAAAAGCATAATAACAACTCAGATTGAATTCATTTTAAATTAAATAATCTAAATTTCATCTAAATTCATCAAACTTAACCAAACGGCTTACAACACATCCCACACAAAAATAAAATCCCACCAGGGATAGAGCTAGAAAAATACTTTAGGGTGGGCACATTGATAATTTTTAATTGTTTTTTTATCAATGTTACCAATGACTTAATTCAATATAACTGTTATGTTAGTTATAAATTTCAATGTTAGATGAAGTTTACTTTCAATCAAAGGGGTGCATTGAATTATGTCATCAAATTAGATGTAAATAAAATTTTTCATTTTTTTTTTTCAATTGACCATAGAAGTTCATAAATTCATATTTACTATAATTATGTGTAAAAATTCATTAAACATAAAAAGTTAAAAAACGATTTGCATGGAATGAACCAACAAAAAATAAAAGTAAATTAATTAAAACTTTGTATGAGACTAATTGTTATCATTTTACAATTAAATATGATTATTATTTATCATTTAAAAGAATTACAAATCAATGATATCAATAAATGCTTTTTTTTCTATATACAAAATGGTAATAACAATCTTTCATTTATTATCCTGTAATTTATTATATTATGACGCTAATTTCTATGCAATAAGAAAATAATCCTATAATTTAGAAAAATGAACGCAATATGTCTAAAAATTATTTGGACATCTGTGTCTAAAAATTTAAGAATAATAGTAATTGCATCTAATTCAAAATTTAATTTTATATCTTAACCAAAAAAAAATTCAAAATTTAATTGGTAGGAACCCAATGGCTTGTGACCATTAGATGGATAGTAGACGTTATTAAATGTAGGGACTCACTATTAGATTTAATATCATAATATATTAGTTCCAATAACATTATTTAAAAATTAATTATTATTTAAGTAGTCGTCTATCTTAATCGATATCACAATAATACAATAATAACGTTGACACAATTTGTGTGTTGAAATTTTAATTTAATCGCTATGTGTTGAAATTATTCAAACATTCTATATTTGTGTATTGAAATTTTATAAGTAACATAGTGCCTTTAGGCACGGGTAATGACTAGTATATATATATAGTAACATTAAAAATAAAAAATAGTAACATTCAAATACAAAAAACAAATTTATCATTTAAACACAAAAAATAATATCATTTAAAAATAAAAAAAATAGTAACATTTAAACAAAAAAAATAATAACATTCAATATTAATATTTTAAAAAAAAATAGTTGCATACTCAACAAAATTAGTAACATGTTCAATAAAAACAGTAACATGCTTAACAAAAACAGAAACATGTTCAAAAAAAAAAAACAGTATAGAATATTGAAAAAAATTGAAAATAAAAATAGTAACATTCAAACCCATAACCAGAGGAAGAAGTCTCCAATTCTTTAGCATCTAAAAAAGTAACACTGAAAAAATAATAATATGCTCAATAAAAAATAGTAGCATGGTCAACAAAAAACTTAGTAGCATGAAATATTGAAAAAAGCTGGGGATTATTTATCAAAAAAAAAAAATAAGATTTGGAATCAAACTAAAAAACACATTGAACAAATTTTTCAACATTTTTTTCTTAAACTAACGACATAGAAGTTCGTGATAAATCAGAACGTAGTAGAAGATATGATAGTTGTTGATGATGTTTCAAACCCTACTGATTTTTGATGCTATAGAGGAAGAAATGAAATTTAAGGAGAAAAATTTATTGTACTGGAGTAATGATCTTCCTTTAAGAGAGAGAGAGAGAGAGAAAGAGAGAAATATAAATTTTAATTTCAATTTATGAGTGAATTAAGAGATAATAATTTTTAATTTAAGAAATTAATTTAAAACTACTTTCAAGGCCTTTAAGGTTTTTATAATTGAACAGAATAACACTGTTAAGGATATTTTTGAAATTTTAGAAAATAATGGACTTAAATACTTATTTGTAAGATAAAAAATAGACTTATCACCAAATAAATTTTCTTAATGAACTTAAGTTATTATAAGTCCATTCAAGAAGACTCAGCTCCAGTTTTAACTACAAATGGTCCATTGAAAAGATGTAAAATTGATTCTCAAAACAAATATAGAAAACTTGTCAGTTTTTCCATTATATTTAAGTTAAAGATAAATTTTTACAGCCAACCGTCTCTTTTTTCATTAATGACCTTTTCATTTGTATAATTGTCAATCTTACATAAATATATTATTATATTTACTTAACCTATTGCCTCTCCGTCTCTATGTTATTACCTTCAAAATTAAGAATAAATTATACTACGCCCTCTCTGTGTGTACTTATCATCTTTCTTAATTGACTCTCTTAATTCTTTTTCTTTTCTCTCATTGTATACTGTACAAAGCTAATGTCCGGTGGATAAAAAGGTATTGAGTTTTTGAGTTTGTTGAACATTTTCTAAGTTTTATACTAATATTATTTTGATTTTGATTTAATCTAAGTGAAGTTATCTTAGATTAGTGACTAAAAAAACTTCATTTGAAATAATGTTTTTGAAAAAACTATTGCAAGTGACGTTTTAAAAAATGTGTAAAAAGAAGTAAATCCTGGCGCTACATACGCCTTTTTTTTTTATCAGTTACATGCGCGTTGAATATGAGGTTACTCTGAAGGTATGGGAAGCCCTAAAAGTTGTCAGAGGTCCCCCTACAGATTTAATGCAAAATATGAGCTGGCATTCATTGGAAAAGTAGTGCGTAGAAGACTTCGACTTTTAACAATTGGAATTCGGATTACTCCAGTGATGTACCAATTTATACAAGTTAAAAAAAAAAAAAAAACTTACTTAATTTGCCTCTCCGTATCTTCTGATATTCATGGTATGATGGCAAGAGACACGGAATCTGTTCTTTAACAGGTTTTTTTTTTTTTTGGGGGATCTGTAGTAAACTCATTGCTAGCTACGTTGCAATGGATCAAACCAAAGCGTGTAGAATTTTTTGACAATCAATTAAACTGAAATAGGGAGCTTCTTCATCTGATCACAATTNACTCCAGTGATGTACCAATTTATACAAGTTAAAAAAAAAAAACTAACTTAATTTGGCTCTCCATATCTTCTGATATTCATGGTATGATGGCAAGACACGGCATCTGTTCTTTAACAGGTTCACTGTAGTAAACTCCTTGCTAGCTACGTTGCAATAGATCAAACCAAAGCTTGTAGAATTTTTTAACTCGACTCGTTCGTGATCTTTTTCCCATTCTTGTTTCTTGGAGATTTTGACAATCAAATAAACTGAAATCAGTTTTGTTATCTCCTGCAATCACTCGAGGTTGATCCCATCGGGAGCTTCTTCATCTGATCACAAATAGGAAACAATGTAGTTTGCACTGACATGGAACAATGAAATTTATAAGTACGGATAACTCCTGAAAACAAAGATCAAAAGCTTTTGACTAGTTTATAGATAATCTCCTACTTACACAAATATACATCAGTTGGAATTTTACATGTCCACTAGGCATAAAACCGAAACACAGAAACTATTTACATCTTCAGGAATACTCTTGTAGATATAATTCCATCATTTTCGCCATGTAAACTCGTCCTTCAGCACATGTTCCCAATCTGATGAAGAGCTGTCATACCACCCAGAAGAACGTTGAGTAGTCAGCCCACTGTTCTTGTAAGATTGAATCACTGAGTCATCCTTGGCAGACACGCGGAACTCTCTGACATTACCATGATCAGAACCATCTCTGTATGACCCAAATTTGTCTTCACAACCATTCCCAGTGTCATGCTGCAGATGAGGAGGTCCCACACCCACATCCAAGCATCCATCCTCTTGTTGGTATTCAGAAAATGGCCAACAGTATCCCTTACCTGCAAATCCAGCATCAACAACCTCTGGCAGTTGTTTCCCCGCCATATTTATGGAATTTGAATTGTCATCGCGGCATTTTAGGATTTTGAATTGTCTAGCTTGCTTTTGTCCATCTCAATTTTCATTCGCTCAAAGCGAGCTGTGTAACCAATGGAACACAATTCAGCTTCAGACTCTAGCCAAAGATTCTTATACAAGAGAGTTTGCGGCTGCCCTTCTTCCTCACCATGGAAATTCTGGTTAAGGATCTCCTATACATACCCAAACAGAAAATTGAAGGCTACGTGTATTAGGCATTTTAACAGATAGTTGATGTGCATCATTTTAACAAACAGTTGTGTGTATATGGGGATTCTGCGTTGGGGTAGAGGAGGAAGAGGGCAGAGAGGGAGAAGACAAAATTGCCGTAGTTAAGAAACTGAGCCGGAGTGGTCTTCTTTGTCAGATTAGTCTTCCTCGTCGGACTGGTCTTCGTCACACTGGTCTTCCTCGTCGGAGAAGACGGTGGCTGTGTGGTTGGAGGAGGAGGAGAGAGCGTTCTTCCTCGAAGCTACTGAGCCGAAGCGATCTTCCTGGTTGGAGGAGGAGTGGCTAGGTTTGGGTAAAGCTCTTTGATTTTGGGTGGTGGGTAGACGAAAGGCACGTATCACTGTGTTTGTACATTTTTTAACTTCCTGGTCAGAGGAGTGGCTGGATATTTTTTTTTACACATTTTTTAAAAGGTCAATTGAAATGACATTTTTAAAAATGTCATTTTAAAAGGTGTTTTTAAAAATGTCATTTTCAATGATATTTTTTACTCACTAATTTTTTTAACGTCTGTTATGTTACTATTTTTAATTTATTTTTTTAACGTCATTCTCACTGATGCTTTTAAAGACGTTATTCTAAATGACAATTTAAATAAAAAAAATTTCAATTTGAAATCGTCATTTTAAATGACGTTTTAACCTATGAATGAGTTATTCTAAATGACATTTTCAAAAACAAACTGAATTTAAGAAATAAGTTTAAAGTTGATTGAGTTTGAAAATAAAGTTCGTGGAAAGACTAGATTTGGGGAAAAACTCAAAATAAAACACTTGGAGAGAGTTTTGGTCAAATTCCAACAGCCTCCCTTGAACCAAACTCTTTAATCTTTATCATCCCCTTTATCATCCCCATTATCTGATTAAGCTTCATGAATACATCGGATTTAAAGTGACTTGGTAAAAGTATATGCAATTTGATACCCCCTCCTTCCATACACCCAGGTTTTTTTTGACTAAAATCATCAATAAAAGTAATAAATTACCTACTCCCACTATTGGAAGGAACTTCAACATAACACAAATCAAAATGAATCAAATCAACGGATTTTTTTGCATGCCAAACTTGTTTATCAGGAAAAGGGTCTCGTTTTTTTTCTCAAAACAAAAGTTTCACAAACTTGACTAAGAATCTTAATAGCAGGCAAACAAAAAACCAATTTTTTTTGGGCAAGGAAATTTAAACTATGAAAATTTACATGCCCAAATCACATATGCCATAACCAATTATCCTCAAAAATTTCAGAACTAAAGGTAAATTTTGACAATTAATTTGTAAATGAAATAAACGATTGGGTGTCATATTTACCTTTACTATTAGTCTCCATCGGCTGTCATTGATTGTACAAACACCATTAAAAATTCTCATATCATACCCTTTTCTGACAATTGTCACATACTCAATAAATTGTGGCTAAGATTAGGTACATAATAAACATTTGAATTAGCATTCAAAGACTCATCTTTTAACTTGATAGAAATTTTACATTTTCCTTTGACTCCATGATAGCTGTGACAATATACTTGAACCTCATTGATAAGGTCCGAAGAATTTTCTCCATGGTATCCTTCACATCTTTGTCGTTAGCTCTCATCCGATTGACAATAACTAACGTCCATGAAAAATAATCAGATATACTCTCTAATTTTTTCATTTGAATAAGCTCAAACAGTCCAAAAAGGTTTCGTTTTCAACTGAACCTTTTTCACCTTATCTTGTCCAATATAAAAATTGATCAAGACATCCCCATGTCGCCTTTACCGTCAAACATGAACAATCTTGTCATAAATTGACGAATCAATTGCTCTATAAATATACATCAATGCTCTGATGTCTTTTTTTCGATTAATTACCAATTCATCTTTTTGAGCTTCTGTGTGAGTTGGTAGATTTTTGAGATCTATGAATCCGTTTGTCACAATATCTAAAAAATCTATAATCTTAAAAAACAACTCCATCTGTGTTTTCCAATGTTGAAAATTTTACAATCGGAGGTTTTCCTGCCGTTGAGAAAGTTAGGGTTTGGGGGCTGCCTGTCGTCCTTTTCTACCGTTACTATTCTCAGGCGGTTGCCATTCATCTTCTCTAGCCAAATTCTTGGTGAGTTTTCATTTAAAAAACCAGCTATATACACTCCACCTATCCCAAACTGAACATAACCAGTGACCTGCAATTACCTCTAAGCAACCGACTGACATACACCAAAGCCACTCCACCTTCACCGACTGCCAATCCATTACAGTCAACAAAACCAAAACCACTGACTTCACAATACCCATCCATACACCAGTGAAACCAAAACCAAAGCCAAAATAAAATCTGATAAAGCCATCGACTACACAATACCCACTGACAGCCAATTGGATTTCATGTAATTAACCCTAACCCTAGCCCCTCTTCCACGCCACCTTCACTGCCCCAACCCAACCAATTCTACTGCCCAACCCAACAGCCACCCACCCACCCAGCAGCAATACCAGCCTGCAACCCAACTGACTGCCCATTCCAGTACTCACCCCACTGACTGCCCACTACCCAGCGAACAACCACACAACTAGGACATCAATCCAGGGCACCGAACACCTGCCACCAATCAATCAACGTGCCCCATGGCCAATCTGGATGCCAGTGATGACCTAATCGCCAACCTAAACTCACCACCCGATCCTCCCCCTCCCGGTGCACACACTTTATACTGACGGAGTTATCCACCATCCCACTACAAGCAACTTACATCACGTTGAGCCCGCAAGTTACACTTATAAACAAACTCGGCCCATTTCTCAACCTGCCCATCCCATCCTCAAACCTGGCCCACTTCCCACAACTAATACCATTTGCCAACCTCTTCAAGCTAAACACCAACCCGGCGGAAACCCAAGACAACTTGTTGCTCCCAAACTAGTCATACCCACAATCCATAATTCTTGGACCCGACCCCCAATTCCGTCCCAAATCTGACCTGGCCAAGAAAGTCATTCATAGATGTTTTGAGGGGATTTGCCACCCTTGGCCCCGATGCTCCCACCCGTTGAGTTCCCAACCCTGTCACACAGTATATGGGTGTCTCCGCAGTTGACTTTCGTGATGAGGAGATTGAGAGTCTCGCAGCTTTTTTTAGATTGGCCCTGATGGGCAAGTTTATCTGAGGCTACCCTCTAATGGAAATGATCAAGAGCTTCATTCAGCTGATTAGATGGATAGGGCAAGTAGATAGTGTTGTCTGAATTTAATATTAAAAATTTGCGTGCAAGTATACACAATTAACAAGTAATAAAGTGATAAGTAGAGTATTGTTCCCACCGAGAATTATTACTAATAAATTCTAAATACTAACTTTATATCAATTCAATTTTATTTAAATAATTGGAAGTGAACTATGAAATCACTACTTTAAAACTAAATCTAAACTTAATAATCAAGGGCTAAATTTACAGGATAAAAGAAGTTAAGATTACAACTTCTTCTAATGCTTCATATAAATCTTTCTAACTCATTTTCCAGTTAATTGATCAAAATAAGTTGTTAACTGATAACTTAAAGTTATTTATCAAATCTCTTCTGATAGTTAGATAAAATTATCTCTCTCAATTAAATTACTATATTTCTATACAAAATAAGTTAGAATAGATTCATTAAATTTAAACTCTCATAAAAGTTACACTTGACTTATAAGTATATTCTTTTCCTTTACACAAACGCAACTATTCAATCCTAAGAAGAATTAACAAAACACATGTCATCATATTTAGATCTAAACCTAGAATTTATCTCCCAATTTTATCTGGGTTATCAAATTAATTGCTCACTACACAATCATATATTAAACACAAAAGCTAAAAAATAACTCATATATGATCAATAGAACTAGAAACAAGAGTAGATCAATTTAACTAGACATTAGGTTCCGTTGCAACCTTAATAAGAATTTAGTTCATAATGTAATTAAAAAACATCATTCTAAAATTAAACAACATCTCAGAAAATCAAGAAGTAAAAGAAAGAGAAAAGAATGAAAATTTTGTTGCAATCTTCAATCTCTCTCTAGCCTTAAAGTCCAATCTTCTTTGTGTCGATTCCTTCGATTCTTGTCTTCAATTTTCTTTTAATCCTTGGTCTTTTCTTATGTTAACAACCCCCAAAATCAGTATCTCCCCGGTTCAACTCAAACCCTAGCATATATGTAGCCTTAAAGTTCAATTTTGGGTAAAAAATAAATCAGAATTTGCATCCAGAGGCAACACAAGCGCCTAGGCGCCTAAAACCAGCACAAGGGCGCTGAGTTATTGCTTTTCAAGAGCCTAGGAGCTGGTTAGGCACTCTCCCATTTTAAGCCTAAAGCTTCCCTTTTTACTTAGTCTTCAAAAATCTAACACTTAGACTCCAAATTGACCTTGTTTCTTTTCAAATGATCTTGTTTTCTTTCAAATGATGNTGAAAAATAACTCATATATGATCAACAGAACTAGAAACAAGAGTAGATCAATTTAACTAGACATTAGGTTCCGTTGCAACCTTAATAAGAATTTAGTTCATAATGTAATTAAAAAACATCATTCTAAAATTAAACAACATCTCAGAAAATCAAGAAGTAAAAGAAAGAGAAAAGAATGAAAATTTTGTTGCAATCTTCAATCTCTCTCTAGCCTTAAAGTCCAATCTTCTTTGTGTCGATTCCTTCGATTCTTGTCTTCAATTTTCTTTTAATCCTTGGTATTTTCTTATGTTAACAACCC